CCTTCCAGTTCAGAGCCCCCACTTTGTGTTTGTCTGCAGGCCTGAGCACAGTTGGTTTGTTAGCTTTCTGAGGGCCTTTCAAATGAACCGCTTTGCAGCAACGCTGAAGTTGGAACCCTGTGGTCGTAAAAGAGCATTTTTGGGGTTAATTTTATAACAACGCTCTCGTCGTCAGAAACACGGCGTCCTTAATCACTAACAGGAGCAGTGACCTGAAGACCTGACCGACTTTTGTAACCCTACCACCTCCCCTCACATAGCTGTTGTGAAATCAGGAGGAGGAAAGGTCAGATATCACCACTGATTAATGTGGACATCAGGTTTTGGCTCAGCTCACTTTTAGCTAAGAAACAAGCTGAGCATTGACAGCTATACTGGACAGATTAAGAAGAAAACTCATCTACTGCATCATAATAAAGAGGTCATTGCACATTCCTCCAGTTTACTGATGATTTTCTTTATACGTTTGTTAAATGGCTAAAATAATGAGCAAAACAGATTCTGCCGCAAAGTAGCTTGCAGCATTTATCCATGTTTTGTATGTCATATAACATAAAACCTTAATATTTTTACTAAATCGAGAGAAAATGTGACTTTTTTTTACATCTTTATGATTAAAATATGTAGCAATTGTTATATTATTCTACAGTAGAGCATCACAAAACCAGAAACAAACTCAACTTTGCCCAAACGGAAGTTACAGGATATGCAGACATTCATTGAAGGAAAGATTTACTAATTATTCAAACATTCACTGATTTTCTCCATTCACTGCAGGTTGACTGGGGAACTTGGTCATAAGGATTGATGGTACAGGGCGTCGTTTTAAAGTTAACCAGTCAGAAAATTAGGAACAATATTTATGGTTATTTAACATGTTTTAAGGGAAAAATAAGGGGTTTATCCCCCCCCCCCCCCCACCCCCCCCCCCCCCCCCCCCCAAGTCATTTTTTTCACTATGTCATTCATTCATTTAAAAAAAAAATCTTACTTTGTTAAATAAATATTTAGTTTGGAGCTAAATATTTATTTTGTAAGTTAAATATTTTTTTAAGTAAATATTTTAACTCCAAATTAAATATTTAGTTTCTTACATAAATATTCAGCTCCAAATTACATATTTAGTTTTTCAAATTATTATTTAGCTCTAGAGTAAATATTTGGTTTCTTAAATAAATGTTTAACTCCAAACTAAATACTTATTTTCTTAAATAAATTATTTGCTTCAAGTTAAATATTTAATTAGCAAAGCTAGCATGTAGCTATGTAGCTAGCACCAAGCTAGCTACATTAGGGTGGCCAGATGTCCGGCTTTAGGGCGGACAGTCCGGATTTTCATTGCACTGTCCGGCGTCCGGCGCTGCACCCAGCCGGACGTGTATTTGTCCTCCTTTACCCCCAGATTCCACATACTCCGTCAGCGCTCCGCCCCGCTCACGTACGGAGTACTTGTCTGTCATGTAAATCAATGAGAGCTGTTCCACATCCTCCGCTCGTCACCGCCCACGTACGTCTTCTCCGTCCTTCACCGTCAAAATACGGAGCTGAGCTATTTTTTGCTCCCCTCCGGTCCGTCCAGATCAAGACCCGCTATTGCAATCGCACCAAACAGAAAAAAGAATGTAGAGAAGACCCGGTTTGTCAAATTAAATTATAGTAAAAACAGATCGGTATCTAGAAATTAGAGCATAGTTTGTATATATTCCCAAAAACTAAGAGCAATTAATTAAATAATTGGATGCAGACTATTGGTGCTTCAACAGACCAGGAAGAAGTCGTGAGATTCTAGAGTGAATCTCACAACTTTAAAAGAAAATTCTTATTGCAGGAATGGATGAAGAGATGATGAGTTTGGAAGCAGAGAATAAACAGAGTTCATACAAACTATGTATGATCCTAGTTATCCCTGTTACAAAAATCGGCAACAGAAAGAAAATATTTGGGCAGAAACTGAACATCTGCTGGATGATGATGGGGATTTTTTTAATATGTCAGATTCAATTAAGCGTTCACAGGTTTTATACAGGAATGAGGAGCTCTAATTTAATGCTCTTTTAATGCTATTAGAAATAATTGTAATGCCATCAACAAGTATCATGTACACAAGTTATTAGTTTACATGAAATAAGGAGCTGTAAGCACAGTTCCATGACTCAAGTTTATATATATATATATATATATATATATATATATATATATATATATATAGATAGATAGATAGATAGATAGATATGGATAGATAGATATATAGATAGATATGGATAGATAGAGAACATGGTGAAATCATCTTTACTCTCGACAGGCTGCAGCCATGTCATGAATTCCTCTTTTCCAGCCACTTTTTGCAGTTTGCATCGTCCTATTCTCTAGCTCTTTCTCGAGCTTCTTTTCCAAACAACTGCTTTATGATCAATTGCAGCAGTTCTGCGCAAATTAATTGTGTTAAAAAAAATTGTCACTTTTTAAACACCACAATGTATTAAATAAATACAAATGCTGGGAACCAATTCTTTTTTACATTTCTTTAATATTTAGTTCTATTCAGCTACACAAGCATCCTCTTTAAACTACTAAGAATTGTGCTATAAATGTGACTTTACCCGATTCTTATGTACACCTTAGTAATTTATTGATATGCCGCACAATGTCCTCCTTTTTGGTGCTATAGAAATGGCCACCCTAAGCTACATATTTAGCTACCTTGGTGCTAGCTTAATATGTAGCTAATATGCAAATTCACTTGGTGAAAATGGGAAGTGAACTACAAAAGTAAAAGCCTGGGAATTGTCCTAAAACTCCTACGGCATCTTGGTCACACTGACAGGAAATATGAAAAAAAACATAATTAAATCCAAAGTGGAAGGTCCTTTTTGGAATTGTTTTATTTGACCATGTTCATTTGTTTTAACAAATGCGCAAAAGTTTAATGTCATATTAACTTGCGGCACAGAGCTACAGCCACGCACCTGTGGCGTCACTGTGTTGCCATAGTAACGACTGCTTTCCCTTTCCGCTGGAGGGAAGAAGCCGTCCCATTCTAAATCATTACCCCCCCACACCTGCCTTCAATCAAGGCGCCTTCCACAGCTGTGAATAAGACTTGATTGGGAGTGACACTTGATGGTTAAGGGTTAGTGCTTAGGGGCCGGTTTGGAATTCAGCCGACGACAAAGTGACTAAACAGAAATCAGATTCTCGTCTTAAGCCGTAGATTTCCAGGCTTTTCTTTTGGTAGTTCACTTCAGCCTTTCGGCAACTGAATTTGCGTGTTTGCTAAATATTTAACCTACACCAGGCTAGCCACACATTTTTAGCTAGCTTGGTGCTAGCTAAATAGTTTGTTAAATAAATATTTAATTCAGAGCTAAATATTTATTTAACAAACTAAATATTTAATTAGCAAACTAAATATTTAATTTGGCGCTAAATATTTATTTAACTAACTAAATATTTAGCTAGCTTGGTGCTAGCTAAATATTTATTTTGTTAAATAAATATTTAATTCGGAGCTAAATATTTATTTAACAAGCTAAAAATTTAATTTTTTCTAAATAAATATTTAGTTTGCAAACTAAATATTTAGTTTGGAGCTAAATATTTATTCAACAAGCTAAATATTTAATTTTTTCAAAATAAATATTTAGTTTGGAGTTAAATATTTGACAAACTAAATATTTAATTTGCAAACTAAATATTTAGTTCGAAGCTAAACATTTATTTAAAAAGTAAGATTTTTATAAATGAATTACTGACAAAGTGAAAAATTACTTTGAAAAAAATAATCCCCTTATTTTTCTTTTAAAATACGCTAAATAACCATAAATATTGCTCCTAATTTTTGACTGCTTAACTTTATAAATGGCCCCCCATATGGTGGAAGCATACTAGCTCTTAATGTATTCAGTCTTTATTTAATTATTTTCTTGACAGGGAAATATACATTTTCCAAATATCAAAGTCATTGATGTTTTGATAGAGTTCATTTTGATTTAAGTCAGTAGCATTTATGTATGTTTGAAAATTCAGGGTCTGGAAAATCTTCTGAAATAGCAGCTTAGCTTTCCTCAGTACTCCTCAGCTACTCACAGTTTTCTATTAGACATATCTTTTTGCCAAAATCTACAATTTAATCCTATCAACATAAAATGCTTTATTGATCCTGAGGGGAGTCAAATGGTTAATGTTAGTAGCTGAGAAGCCATAATTCCTTTAACAGAAAAGGTTACTAACCTACTTTCTAAACAACCGCTGGTCTTTGATTATCGTAGAAGTGAAAGCTTTTACTGCATCGATGCAAAGAATGAAAAATAAACACAGATCCTGTAAGTCATGCGGACAGCCTGACCTTCAAATGGTTCTGAAGGCAACACCTAACCACCTGATCACCTGCTCAGCCTTTCAACAAGAGGTGAAACAGGGCAGCATTTAAGGCCTGAGCCAGTCAGCTCATCCTAAGGCCCTGATGTTTTTACAGTGATCACCTTTACTAAATACCATCATGATAAGCAAATATTTGTGGTCCAGTTTAACACCATATTACCTCCCAATTCCCCTAAATAATAAATCTAAGAGAGAAAAACATTGCATTAGACCAGGAAGAGCATAAGAAAAGAGGGAAAATTCAAACATGACTCATTTATGTAAACAAAGATGCATCATTAGGTCCTGCTGCTGTTTGCAGGAAAGAGATAAACGATTTATCTGCATCTTATTTAGAGTCCCGTTCTTTGTCTCTTCAAAACTGTAGTAAACATTTGACAGATGAAGAGGTCGAACCCTCTGTCATTCATCATGTGGCTGCTAATGTCTCCCAGGTCACATGACCCCCCCCCCCCCCCCCCCCCTCCTCCCCAAATGGTCTGTTAGAAAATGACCCAGGGCCATTAACAGCTTCCCTGTGTGACACAAACTAATCACATCAGGGGTCAAAAAGCTTCACATGCAAGCTGAGTAGGAACTGTTAGCATCTCCTAATGTCTAATGTCTTTCCTCACTTTCAGGATGAAGAACAAGCTGTGGTACTTTGAGTTTGGCACCACTGAGACCATATCCGCCACCTGCAAGAAACTAAACGAATGCATAGAGGTGGAGGTGAGTCCTGGCTGCTAAAATCAGAGCGCTGCAGCGTATGATGCAATTACATACTAATGAATCCTTTTGATCATCTTTGTCTGTTATTATCATGAATGTATGCCAAACATATTGACAGTCTCTTAAGCGGAGCTTTTATGTTCCCTCCTACTTCACCATTATGCACCACTCTGTTTTAATCGGTAAATAAAGACGGGGGGGATTTACCATTAGGCAATACTACTGTAGGCACTAACCCAAGTTCCTGGGGGCCCCATAAAACTCTTTCTACATGAATGGTTAATACAATTATTCCAGATTTGTGCACATTAAGTATATTTTTAATAAAAATCTTTTAGCTAAAATGCCATCAGAACGCTTATAATAAGTGCCCCCTTCATTGTCCACCATATTGGATCAGTCCATTTGCTGCACATGTTCAGAAAGGTCCAAACAGACAGCAGCAAACCATTTGAAAACAAACCATGCAAAGAGCAGTGTTGCCAACTTAGCGCTTTAGTCGCTATATTTAGCCACTTTTCAGACCCCTCTAGCACTTTGATTTCAAAAAAGCGTCTAGCGCCAAATCTAGAGACTTTCTTCTGCTACTGGAGACTTTGGAGACAACATCTAAAAGCAGCGAACTCTGCTCTCCAGAGCGAGTAGATTGGTAACCCCGCCTCCTGCTCTCCTCTATCTTGTCTGCTGTCATGATTCGTGCAGCTATTATTTCATCTAAATGAAAAATGGAGAACAGATAAGCAGATCATGGCTTGTCTACAGTGAAAAGAAGGACTGGGTTATTTACTTTGGCCTTTTTGGAAACACAGGAAGGAGCAATCAGCTAAGTGAGCTTAGTGCTTGGAAAAAATCTTTCATTCCTTCAGAGACAGCATGAAAAGTCAGCTGAGTACAAAACATAGAGAGGAAAACAAGAAGAAAAGGGACAAGAGGAGAGGGACACAACCTAGAACAGATAATGGATGTCTATTCTATTAACATTTCTCTATCTGTAGAATGGGTCTGTTTTATGTGTTGGCTTCTCAATTCAGAGGGCCCAATGCCTGACTTTGCCTAGGGCCCCAAATTTCCCAAATCCGCCCCTGAATACATGCCAGTTAGATACATTTTTTTACGTGCGAAACTTTTTGGCAAGTTTTTATGTGCAAAACTGAAAAATAACATTTAAAAAAAATAATTTTTTTGCTAAATCTCAGCTTGTAAAACTAAGATGGACGTTTATGCAGAGTGTGGAGCCAATCCACCACCAATGTTCTTTCAAACCTGCGTTTTACTCTAGACAAAGAGAGCTTTCACCTTCCCTCAGAATTGTTTGCTGATTTTAAATGAAGTGCATTGATGGTGAAGAGGCTGATTTAACGGGCCTTACAGCCATTTTCAGGATCTGTCGCAGTAATTACATCAAAAAGAACAGACAAATGACAAATCAACCACGTAACAAGCTCTGTGTCCTCATGAGTCTGGGTGTGTGTTCTTGCCTTCGACCCAGTGACCTGCAGCCAGCCGACACACGTACTCCTTCTAAAAGTGATGCTCCACTTAGAGCAGGACTTGTCCTGCTTCCATCTTCCACCATTTTCTAATAAAAAAGCTGCAGCCCTGACAGACTGATCATGTTCAGACTGATCCAATCTCAGCGAGCCTGCACTCGGTGCATCAGTAGCACAATTCAATACATCTGGTCTCTTTTTTATTTTCCCCCAAGCTGCCTACAGGCAGATCTAAGCTCAAAGGTCCTTGACATTTAATTATGCAGAATAATTCTGCCCCGGAACAGGAGTACGGTCCAGCTACTTGTGAAATCACTTCAGTCTGCCGTGCGGCGTGTAGCTCCAGCTGTTCGGGTTTGTGCTGCTCGATCTGTTCGAACACACGAGGACTCTCAGAGTTCCATGTGAGTTCAACCAAATGCAACTGATCATGCAGAAAGTGGCTGAAAGAGAGTGCACCTTTCTTCAGTTCTGAACTCTATATTTGTTAAAATGGCTCCGTCAATGCAGAGATCTTAATTAGTCAAATAGCAAAAACTCACCATGTGTTAGTTAAAGGATGCAGACGATGCAGAAAGGATCATTTAAAGCTTCTCTCCTGGTCCATTCCTCTTAACAACATTGCTTTATATATTTAAGATTTCTAGACATTGTTTTGGTGTCTCAACACAATTCTGTACTTTGACTAGGCCATTGGAACACCTTGATGGAACTCCATCCCCCACCTCACAGTTCTGCCCAGCGTATTTCAGCCTATCAGGCCAATAGGCTGAAAGTTGTCACCGCTACATTAAAATACTAATTCTAATTGAACTTTATTGATCTCACATTGGAGAAATTTATCTCTGCATTTAACCCATCCCCTTTGGGAGCAGTAGGCTGCCATCGTGGGGCGCCCAGGGAGCATTGTGGGCTTAAGGGTCTTGCTCAGAGACCCAGAGTGGCAGTCTGTGGAAGTGGGGCTCAAACTCAGAACCTCAGGATTCTAGGCTCTATGCCCTAACCGCTAGGCCCCCACTCCCCCATTGAAATTAGGCCCATACCCACATCAGCCCTTTGACTAGAATCCGCGCTCCGTCTCCCAGGTTACACTGAAAGTTGGCAATGTTATGCTGAAATGTACTGAATTTTGATGAGCGTAACTGTCATGAAAACGTAGTTTCTTAACATATTCATATCCTTATTTGGACATAAGAAATATGTTATGGATCAGATCTTTTTTCCTTCTGTTTTCATGTTTTAAAGCTAATTCAGCTGTAGAGCAGTTTAACAAAAAACAAACGTTTTGTTCAGGGCCTGTCATTTCAACTCCATATCAAGGAGATTTCTAGAATGTATTATTTAATTTTAAGAATATTTCAAAAATTAGAAATCTCCTGTCCAGGGGTGATGCTGAGAAACTAGTCCATGCATTTGTTACTTCAAGGCTGGACTATTGTAATTCTTTACTATCAGGAAGTCCACAAACTGTAGTTAAAAGCCTTCAGCTGATCCAAAATGCTGCAGCCAGAGTTCTGAGGAAAATGAAAAAGAGAGATCATATCTCTCCTATCCTGGCTTCTCTTCATTGGCTTCCTGTTAAATCCAGAATAGAATTTAAAATCCTCCTTCTCACATATAAAGCCTTAAATGGCCAAGCTCCATCTGATATCAGAGATCTGATTGTTCCTTATGTTCCTAACAGAGCACTTCGCTCTCAATCTGCAGGTTTACTAGTGGTTCCTAGAATTTCTAAAAGTAGAATGGGAGGCAGATCTTTTAGTTATCCGGCTCCTCTCCTGTGGAACCAACTACCAGTTTTAGTCCGTGAGGCAGACACCCTGTCTACTTTTAAGGCTAGGCTTAAAACTTTCCTTTTTGATAAAGCTTCTAGTTAGATTGGCCTGTGGAACTAGATTTCTGCTACCTTTTCTAACATAGAAAATAGTGACAGATCAGTCCTTCTGCATTCTATTTGTATGACTGCCTCTGTCTCCTTGAACATCTTTCTCTGCTGGAGGTTTCTTCCTGTTCAAAGGGAGTTTTTCCTCCCCACCGTCGCTACAAGCATGCTTAGTGTAAAGAACTGTATTTGAGGCAAAGAGTCGACGCAATCAGCTGGTTTTCCTTGGATAGAAAACTTTGAAACAATCTGACTGGATGATCTGGTTGAATTGTCTCTCTAAAGTGGCTTGAGATGACATGTGTTATGAATAAACTGAAATAAAACTGAATAAGGATTAATTACTTTTGGTGTGTGTTGCTTTATGTTTCTTAGGTAGTTTGAAATGACTTTCTGTCTGTACCTAGAAACAATTTTTGTTGGTTAGCCAATTAACTGGCTACGAATTAACTTATGTCATTTAGAACACCAATAATAAAAATAAAAAATTAATAAAATAACATTTGAGCTTGGTACTTTAGGAAAATAAATTCATTAGAAAGAGTGCATCCTAGAATTTCCTTAATTAGATTTTAAACCGCAGAGCTTTTCCTTGATCACATCAAATCAAGAAAATGATCAACCACTTTCCACAACATGAAGGTGAAATAACCGCATTCTTCTGCCTCCTCAGTGCGACGGGATCATCTTGGACCTCAGCAATACCTCCTTAGAGGGCATAGCTGTTCTGAACATTCCCAGCATGCACGGGGGCTCCAACCTTTGGGGAGAGTCCAAGAAGAGACGGAATTACAACCGCATGAGCAAGAAGGTTGCAGACAGGATGCCTGCCACCACCGTCACAGACGCTAAAGAGCTCAAGTTTTGCATGCAAGGTACGTGACTGAAAATGAACTTTTTCATCAAAACAGCTATAAGGGGGGAGGATATTTAAGGCTTTTACTAGCTTGTTACAAAATAATTAGCACTGAGAAAAGAAAAGCGAAGATGTCCAAGTTAACTATAGTTGATTAAATATTTGGTAAGAGTTTAGAAATTATGCTTTATTCATGAAACAACCTAAACTAGGGATGCACGATATTGGGATTTTGGCCGATATCTGATATGCCGATATTTTAAAACTCATGTAGCCGATAACCAATATGGATACCGATGTTGAAGCTGGACAAAAATAAGTAGTCATTGAAAATAGCAGTTTTGTTATCCATTTCTGACACTTTGAAAAATAATATACTCAAATATATTTTCATATGCTGATATCAAATTGATTTTTAAAAACGCGGTATCGATCTATTTTACTTTCAAAATCTGGTGAAATTTCATCGTTCTGTTACAAACTCTCGTGATATTTTGCAAATTCTTGTGAGATTTTGTTAGTAAAATAGATCGATACCGCGTCAATATATCAACATATAAAAATATGGCAACATTTGGTGAATTTTCGGGGGATTTCGTAGCATAACGATGACATATAGCAATATTTCATTAGTAAAAGAGATTGATATGGTGTTTTTAAATGGCAATATATCAGCATATGAAGATATTGGGATATTTTAATGTACCAGTTTTTAAGTCTGTAAAGAAGAAGTTTTTGAGGAAGAAGAAGATTTTTTTTTTTCTTTAGACTTTAGAAACTCAGAAGCTGATCAAATATCGGGTTAAATATCGGTGGGGTGGCCGATATCTGATATTCAGTTTTAAGGCCGATACAGGCCGATACCGATAGGGGGCCGATTATATTGTGCATCCCTAACCTAAACACATCTTCCTTTAATTTTAGTCAAACAGTCATGGAAAACTACGCTGTCCTAATTCTTAAAACCGTTGTCAAACAGATGTTATTTTGTAAAGGAAAGATAGTAGAAGGAGGATCAGTTGGTGAAATGCTCATCAAAAATTTACAAAACACCTTGAAATGTGACCTTAGTTTCTACAGTCTGAATTTAGTTTGGTCAAAATCTCAACTTTAAGATGACAGAAGTGGAAAAAAAGACAAAACAAATAGAAGTGTTCTTCTGTCAAAAAAGAAAATACATTTTTTTTAACCCTTTCACAGAATAAGATCATTTATTATGGTAAAAATCTGATAACTTTAACAAGACTCACTCAATACAAAATCAACAATGTCACATTTCCTGTCAGGTTGGGTGGAGGTTAGAAGAGGACCTAAATGCAGACACTGAGGCTGAAGGTGGTTATTTTCGGATTTAATAACAAAAAAATGGTAACAGAAGCAAAAGTCCAAAAACATAAATCCACAATAATTGAGAACCAGGAATACTCACAACAAGGGGGCAAAGAAATACCGCAACAGTGCCTGAGCAGGAGGTGAATATATGAGAGAAAGAAACAAAGACCAGGATAATCAGTAGATTGGGAGCAGGTGTGAACAGAGGAGTCTAGAAGGGAGAGTAGACTGACACAAGAGGGAACAGAGGGCAAACAAGAAATACCTAAGAACTCAAATACAATCAAAATAGGAATAATGGAAATAAAACCAAAGAATATTCAAAGATGAAACAGAACCAAAACCATGACAGTACCCCCCACCTAAGAGCCGATTCCGATGCTCTAAAAAGTCCAAGAACAAAAAACAACCCACCCAGGGTGGGTGGACGGGGGACCAGGAAGGAGGGAATGAAACAAAAGCAGAGTCCAAAACAAAAACAACCCACCAAAGGTGGCTGAGGACAAGCAAAGTCAGGAGCTGTGAACCAAACACAAGACATTTCCAGTGTTCCAGTGTTGGTGTTGCGTTTAAAGCACAGTGTTAATTCAACACTTGTTCGATTCAACAGCGCGAGACTGATGCTGCGTTCACACTGGACGCAGCTGGCGCAACAGAAGCAGCGTGTTTACATGCAAAGTCAATGGTTGACGCGCGTCAAGGCGCAGCAAAAGGTCCCGCGGCGCGTTTTGAGCAGCAGGCGCAGCACGTCTGAGCAGCTGAAGCAGCGCGCCGGGCGCGTCTAAGCATCTGACGCGTGTGACGTGCCGCAAACGCGCTGCTGCTCGAGATGGAAAAATTTCATTTTTGCTGCTCGACGCGCCGCATCAACCAATCAGAGAAGCTGATCTGGGAGCTGGCAGGGAGAGAGACACAGCGCTGATGATGAGAGCGCTATGATCACTCCTCTTAAAACAGTTTATTGACGCCTAAATTAACTTAAAATGCAGAAATCTGCCAGCAGAATATGTTGGCTTTTATTATCCTGCTGCCTGCAGTTTGGATTATTAGATGAAAAACACCTACCAGCTGCCGCGGTGAACCGCGACGAGGCGACCCGGCCAGAGGCTGCTGATGAAGGGATTCCTACTGTCGGCGCACCGCTGGTATGTGGGGGTCTGAGCGGCTCCGACAGAAAAAATATTGGAAGGCAGGATGGTAATCTGGATGGACTGACTGCACTGATTACGTTTTCAGGTGGATTTTCTCACTTAAAAACATATTAAAACTACTTTATTCCCACTGATCACAGCAAATATAGCTGCAAGGCAAAGAAAGGATAGAGTAGCTCCGCTCAACGCGCGTCAGACACACTTTTGCACCGCGCAGCCAGAGCAGCAAAGCTGCTTCAGCCGCGCGTCAGAACTAACTGGTACAAGCAGCAAAAATGAAGCAGCAGACGCGATTTTGCTGCTCTTGCTGCGTCCGGTGTGAACGTAGCATTAGGCTACATTCACACTGCAGCCTGAAGTGGCCCAAATCACTGTTTTTTTGCCCATATGCGACCTGGACCTGATCTTTTCATGGCTGTCTGAACAACGCAGATCTGATTTTTTATGTGCTCCTGAATCCGATACGAATCTGATCTTTTCAAATTCGACCTGTGTCTGAACACAGTGTGAGTTTTAGCTGCGTGCATCGATTTAAAAAAATCACAGTGTATGCCCGGCTTAAGATAATCGTTTTATTGATGGAACCACTCAGAACAAGAGTTACAGGATGTTTTAAGTTTGATTTGAAGCCCAGGACTCCAGAACCTCCCAGCCTGGATTTACTTTAGTTAAATAAACCAAATGTCATTTTTAAAGCTGCAACTAATAGCTTTGCTAAAGCATTGGAATAAACAAACCTTTTTTTAATGTTCTCTAAATCAGAACTCTGACCAAAATAATGCTAACATGATGTCACAAAAGCAATGTTTTCTTGTGTTTTTACAGATAAAAACTTGTCCTTTTCCCACTGGCTGCCATTGAAGGCATTATAAATATATAGTAAATCTGCTGTAAATGCACACCTTTAGAAAGCCTGGGCACTGATCAACAGCTGCTGAAAATGTCAAGGTTGTGAAGTGAAGTGCTGAGCTGTTGCCAGGAAACTAAGTTACAGGAACGAACACACCTTCTGTATTTATTAGACAATACAGCAGCCCTTTTGGAACAGGACGTGATGAAGGGCGACGTATATCAATCCATAAAATTACCTTCAACACGACGTCACGGCTGGTAATGTCCTCAGCAAATAAATGCAGTCAGTTATATAACAGCTTATGTAAACAGAGGAACAGTTTCTGCTGAACAGTTTGGACCTGAGCCTGGTCTGTTTTTCACTTAGAAAAACTCTTAATGGTTTGCAGAAAAGCAGCAGAGTTTAGGTCATAAGAGCTGAATCTGAAGACTCCTGGATCCATGCTGGAGGTTACAGTGTTCATAGGGGAATCCGTGGCCTGGAACAGTCTTATGAGCTTGTTGGAGGTGAAAACAAACATCTGGTTGATTCCTCATGTGTTTTGTATTAATTCTTTAAAAAAGAAAGTAAGAAGTATCGACTCATTTGCAGTCATCTCTGCAGAAGAAGCTTAACTTTTTTGTACGTTTATCATTTTATCACAACTCAGTGGCAGATGGTGGACCTTTCTCCAGGGGGGGCTATAAGTTCAAAATAGATGTATACCAAAACCCAATCAAATGGTATCACACCAGTATATTTACATGAATGCCAACAACATTCTAAAATGTGCTGCAAACTGCTTTAAATCACTATTATACAGAATAAAGCATTAGCCTCGCTGCATGCAGTTAGCCTAGCCTTGTTGCTAAATAATTCTATAAACCTGTCAATCACCCGCACTCTCTAACACAGCGGTCGCAAACCTTTTTTGCACCACGGACCGCTATATGTCAGACAATATTTTCACGGACCGGCCGGGTGGGGGAAGGGGGGGTTAATACGATCCAGTAAAATGATACGACTGGCACAAAATTAAATACAAACAGCATAAAAATAAAACAACAAGCCGGTCCCATCTAGGCGTCATGGGAGAAAATGACAGACGAAGTGTCCTCCTGATGTCCAGTCTGCTCCATAGCTTTGTTTTGGTCGCTGTAACCGCAGAAAATCCCGCTTCACAAAGATAGGATGTTATAGATAGGATGAGTCTTGAACTGAATTAACCTGTGTCAAGAGGCACAGATGCACCGACTGATGTAATCGGGAGAGAATACCGGAATTTTTTATATTTTTCAAAATAAAACATCACTCAGACTCTGATCGTCGATAAATTATATATATATATACTTTTTTTTTTCTGTGCGGCCCGGTACCAAATGACACACGGACTGGTACCGCTCCGCGGCCCGGTGGTTGGGGACCGCTGCTCTAACAGACGACTGTGACGCCAGCGCTGTGGCAGGAGGTGGTGTGTAAATAAAGCTGCTCTCAGCTCGCAGAGCTGGAGAGCCGGTGATTTAATAAATTTAGCGTTAATCACTAAAATCACTGAGTCTGGGAGCGGCCATCTTTGCCCAAATATAGTAGCCCCTCCCTCCAGCCATCTTCCAGCAGTGACGTCACGGTGCGGTAAGCCTAGCGCCATTCTCCCCGCTTTACAAGCTAAATCAATGGGAACTACTAGACACATCTGCAATCAAC